AGAACAAAGAGTGAATGGTGTAAGTGATTCAGAAACAAAGGGTTGTTTTGTGGAAAGAAAAGGGGCAAAAGGCGGGAACTGTTCAAATTATGCAAAGTACGAGGGCGGCGTGACAGCTGCAATAGGCTAATAAGGGCGTGCCACGTGTCATGGGAAGGAGAAACGATTCAGTTACTGTGATTGAAGAGACGTTTTGACCGGACAAGCAGAGCCCGGTGTGGAATGAGCTCGGCTGGATAGGCTAAAAGATTTTAGCTCGGCTAAAAAAGCTAAAGGGCTTGAGCTCAGTTAGAAAAGCTAAAGGGTTTTAAGTTCGGCTGAAAAGGCTTAAAAACCTTAGCCCGGCTGGTTAAACAAGTAATCCCTATCATGCTATGCAGATGGAATTAAGGGGCAATTGAGAGGGTAATTTATATGGAAATTGGGCTGAGCTACGTAAATAGGCCGTTGTGGGCCTTAGGGCGAAGGGATGAGTAAAAAAGCCGTTAAAGTTACTCCGATCCCAAAGAGGTTAGCCTGGTAACCATACTAAATCTTATATCGGTTAAGATGCAGTATGGTTAGTTCGGTCTAAAAGCCTTGCTAGAAGTTAGATCGGTTTAGACTTAACACTGTTGACACAAGAGGAACTGGGGTAAGAACATTGAAGGTAGAACCGAACTAACGATAGTTTGGTCTACTCTGTGGCTCGGCGTGATCATGATTACTTCGGTCATATTGGAGTTCGGCCATAGTAAAAACCATCTCACTTGGTTTAAGCAGTGAGGGGGGTGTTGAAGGATAAGCATTATCTTTCAGGAATATGAATCCTAGGAGGACTCTACAAGGAGGAGTAAGAGTCCTACATGGATTGTACCACATGGAACCTATAAAAGCTCACAAACATCACCTATGGAGAGGTAAAACAGAACTTTGATTCCTGAATACACAGAGTTTTTGTCTACTCATTTATTTTGCTGACTTAGGCATCGGAGGGGTTTCCGGCACACACCCACTGGCTAGCTCACGTTTGTGTTTTCAGGGAGTAAAGCGACGACGTTTGGAGGAGCGCAGACTTGATTAATAGGATTATACGAGAAGGTTTATTTATTTCCCGTACAATTTCATACTGATTTGTGTGAGTTTGAAGGAATTTTAACTTTTGGTGGTAACCGATATTTTATCACTTTTATTGATGATTTTTCAAAATATACAAATGTATATTTATTGAAAAATAAGAGTGATGCATTTAAGAAATTTAAAGAATTTCTTCTTGAATCAATTCGGTAAAAAGATTAAAAAAATTAGAAGTGATACAAGCAGGGAGTATGAATCTCTTGGATTCAACTCTTTTTTCAATCATTGGGAAATATTTATAAGACTACTCCACCATATTCACCTTCATCTAATGGCGTAGCTAAAAGAAAAAAATATGACGTTAATTGACTTGACGAATGCTATGCTAATTGATTTAGGTGCTCCCTCAAATCTTTGGGGCGAGACTATTTTGACAGCTCGTCATGTGATAAATAGAGTGTCACAAAAAAAGACTAAAATTGTACCTTATGGGTGTGTTTGATTGGGGGGATAAGGGGGAGGACTATCCACTATTTGGACTCCATGTTCGGCCTCCCTCCTTATCCGTCGTTTGATTTTTTTTTATTCCGGCGGACTCCATGTCCGGCCGAACTCCATGTCCCCCATATGGGGGACTATCCTGTCCTGGGGGGGGTGGGATTGTTTTGGGGGGACTAATCACTGTTTGGATTAGATGCGAAAATGACAATTTTGACCCTCTACTATTTAATTATGTATTATATTTAATAAAATTTAACAAAATTTAAATGTCTCAATTTAAAAATTAAAAAAAAAATTATTTAATTTTTATTGAAGTTTTATTTTAAAATTTTGTTTATATTTTATTTAATTTCATTATTTAAATTTTAATAGATGTTTTATTTAATTTCATTATTTAATTATTATTAGTTTTAAAAATAAATTTATTTAAAATTTTAATTAAAAAAATAACATATATTTTTATTGATATTTTATTTATTTTATTTTTAAAAAATAAATTTATTTAATTGTGTAAAAAATAAAATAAAATAAAATTTTATTTAATCTAGCTAAAAATAATTAAAATATTAAAGATATTATTTATTTAACATCTATTAAATTATGTTTTAATACGTCAACATTTGATTACATCTACATTTGTTAATTGTTAATTATATCAACATTTGTTAATTGTTTAAACATAATCTGTACATCAAAATAATTTCAATGTTAATTGTTTAAATAAAAATTTAAACATTTAACCATTAGTATGTTTAATTTCAACAATAAATTTTTATTTGTTTAAATAAAAATAATCTATACCAGTCAAATTTTTTTTATCAATATTAGTATGTTTAAATATCTTTAAACAAAATTTAACCATTAGTATGTTTAATGTTTACTAAAAATAATTAAAATATTAAAGATATGTTTAATATTGCTATTACATAGTAAACAATTGAAAAAGGGTAAAATAGTCTTTTGTTCATTTATCCTATCCAGTCCGTCAAACCAAACGTTGGATTCACTGAAAATAGTCCTATCTAGACATCTAATCCCATGAAAAAACAAGCACAGGATACATATCCAATCCGACCAAATAGTCCGGGGGATTCACAGTCCCAGGACTCAAGTCCGATGGATTCTAATCCCCCATTTTCCAGTCCGTCCAATCAAACACACCCTATGAGTTGTGGTGTAAGCCTAAACCAAATCTAGGTTATTTGAGGGTTTGGGGCTGTTAAGCTTTTGTGAGGCTTGCATATCCTAAATGACCTAAATTGGGTGAACGAGCTACCGCTTGTGTTTTTCTTGGGTATATGTTGCATAGTACAACTTATAGATTTTTTGATATGGAAAATAATATTATTTTTGAATCAGGTGATGCTATTTTTCATGCAAATAAATTTCCTTTCAAATCTAAAAATAGTGAGGGTCAAATATTTTCTGAAACCTAGCTCTTCTACTCCATCTCAAGTTTTTCAAGAACAAGAAAATTCTCAAATCCAACCAAGGAGGAGTAAACGAGCTAGAGTTGAAAAATATTTTCGCCTTGACTATTATCTTTACAATATGGAAGATATTCCTCTTACGGCGCTAGAACCTTTATCATCACCTAATGTTATTTTCTAAAAAAAGGCTGTAAATGATAAGATAGATTCACTGCTTTCAAATAAAACATAGAAACTGGTGGATTTACTTCCAAGTTGTTAAACTATTGGGTCTAAATGGGTCCTTTGTAAAAAACTTAAATCGGATGGAACTATAGATAAATATAAAGCGAGACTTGTCACTAAAGGTTTTAAGCAATAAGTTGATCTTGATTTCTTTGATACTTTTTCTCAGGTTACTAGAGTTACATCTATTAGACTGTTGATAGTAGTGGCTACAATTCATTATTTAAAAATTCATCAAATGGATGTGAAAAACAACATTTTTAAATGGAAATCTAGATGAGGAAATTTACATTGACCATCCCGAGGGCTTTGTGGAACCTGGCCAAGAAAACAAGGTGTGTAAGCTAACTAAATCTCTTTATGGTTTAAAACAAACTCCTAAACATTGGCATGAGAAATTTGATTCCTGCATGCTTGAGAATGACTATAAGACTAATGAATGTGATAAGTGCATATATTATAAAACTTGTGAGAATGCACATGTGATTATTAGCCTATATGTGGATGATATACTTATCTTTGGCTCTAATTTGCATATTATAAATAAGACAAAAAATATGCTTAATACTCACTTTAATATAAAAGATCTTAGTGAAGCCAATTTTATTTTGGGAATTAAAATTACCAAGACTAATGATGGCATTTTTCTTGATCAGTCACATTATATTGAGAAAATTTTAAAGAAATATAATGTTCTAAACTGTAAATATGTTGCTACTCCTTTTGATACAAGCATACATTTATCTCCTGTAACAAATGCAAAATATGTGGTTAATCAAAAGGAATATGCTAGCATGATTGGTAGTTTGAGATATGCTACTGACTACATTAGACCTGACATTGCATATGCTATTGGAGTACTTAGCAGGTTTACTAGCAAGCCAAGTCGAGATCATTGGTTAGCTATGGGAAGAATTATGAGATATTTATCTGGTACCAAAAATTATGGTTCGTTTTATAACAAGTATTCTACGGTACTTAAGGAATATAGTGATACCGATTGGAACACTTTGTCAGGTGATTCTCTCTCTACCTCGGGTTTTATTTTTACCTTGGGTGGTGGTGCTATATGTTGGAAGTCTAAAAAATAAATTACAATTGCTAATTCTACAATGAAAGCTGAGCTTATAGCATTAGCTTCAACATGTGAGAAAGCGAATTGGTTGAGAGATTTGTTACATGTAATCCCTTTTTGAGAAAAACTAATTCCTCCTATATTAATTCGTTGTGATAGCACTACTGTTATTGGCAGAGTGAACAACCATTTTTGTAATGGTAAATCCAGACCTATTAGAAGGAAATACAGTAATGTGAGATTCTACTTAAGTAATAGCATCATAACTGTGAATTATGTAAAATCTTGTGATAATCTTACGGATCCGTTAACCAAGGCCTTGGCGAGAGGTAGGGTCTAGAATAGATCGAGGGGGATGGGTTTGAAACCTATAAAATCATAAATCATGTATGAGGACACCCAACCTGGGGACCAGAGATCCTGTAACTAGGTTCAAAGAGAAGAATGAATCATATGGTGGTTGTAAAAAATGCACTCCTTAATACATTGTTGTCCATCCCTATGATGTAAGTGCATTTGTCCTGTAATATTGGAGGGTTGAGTCTTTATACTCTTAATGAAATTCTGTAGCTCTTGTTGAGTGGGGTGTGTAAATTACAGGAACATCCTTGACAGATTTCACCTATGTGAGCATAGAAGTGGGGCCGCTTTCTATGAGAATAAGGTTTATTCTCAAATATGCTTATGAAAATTGGGATTAACATAAGGCCGTACTTATTTTCTTGATGGTGCTTCTATCCGTTACCAAATTTTTCATTGAATTGTGTTGTAGGTGAAGTATGAGTAACCACGATGAACCCATGTCTAACTTTTTTGCATAGCCAGATGCTCTTGCTTACGGGAAGGTAAAATGGATGCTTTTCCATAACCGTGCTATTTCCCCCGGTTGATAGCTACTTTCAATTTTTTGTCTAGCCAATAGTTCTCTAAATTTTCATTTTGCTTCTGTGCAAAAAAACAAAATATTAATAATACTGTAATAATAAATGAAAAGAAGCAGCCGCAACCATCATGAAGAATCCTTACGGTGATTTTGTGAAACTTTAAAGCCATGTAGCTGCGTCATGAGGTGTTTGACATTATGAAAAATTTCTGTAGTGTTGATTGTTTCTTTTTCCATTTTTAATTGTGTGCATTCATATCTAGAAATCATAAGATTTTTTTCTATTAATCTGCCTTGTGATGGCAATATCTCCCTAAAAGTGCCAGAATGTTTAACTAGGGACAATTACTTGACAGTTGGGTTAGTGGAAAAAAATTACAAATTAATAAAAAAGTTTATAATATTGACTATTAATGTGTATGATGTTTTTCACTTTTTGGTAAATAAGTTAAACTGACACAATGTCAGTGTAATTCTCCCACAAGGTATTTTTCTTCTCACTACATTATGTGGTCTCTTACTTTCCGTTGAAAGTTTGTTCCTAATATATATTGTCCTTCACAGACCTTCTCTGGCAATCAGCCTTCTTTCAGCCTTCTGCTTCCATCATTAAATGCTTATAATAATGGACAGGTGCTTTCATGAAACAATTTGTGCATTTTGCTAATCATCAGAGGTTTTGAGAGTTCAAATTTGTTCAAAACACCCCTTGTCTTTATAGCCCATTTAGTGGTTTGAAGTTCCCAAATGTCCATTGAGGTTACATGCATAATGTGCATAGAATCTCTGTTAAAATTGAAAAGATGATCACACTAGTTTTGATAGTGACCAAATCTAGAAGTTTTGTAAACTTAACACTTTGGTCCCAAGTCGACCATGTGAGTGTGAATAGGATTTGGCTGTGGTTTGCTTCTTTTTTTTTTTCCTTGGTGACATTAGGAACATATTGGATGGTTAAATAAAAAAAAAATTAAAAGTGAGACACATGATGATAAATTGCGTGCCTTGGTTTATGTCTATGTACATACTATGTTTCCTTTGCTTTCATAATTGTTTGTTCCTAAAATTACTTTGATTCCCTGTTTTAAGACTTGCAATATTATTTCTAATTTCCCTAAAATTGGAGCTAGGTGGTGCTTTTTCCCCATTTCCATGATATTCTTTAGTTCTTTTTAGTGCAGTACCTTACCTTTCTATGTTTAAATCTATGAAGGTGTCTTCAACTCTTTAACTTTTGTTTAATTGGTTGTTCAGTTTTTGAATATTGATTAAGGGGTTGTTTGTGATAAACTATATAAGTGCATTTTTTGACTTATAGGATAAAAAAGTAGAGGATAAAAATATGATTGTTTGGAATAACTTTTTGACTTTTTAAGAAAAAATGTGTATTAAAATATTGTATAAAATAGCAAAATTACTGTATTACCCCTATGCCTTATGCATACTGACAGTGATGATTGAAGGAACCCGTATGGATTGCTTTGAAATGAGATGGTGGGCAGGCATGATTCAGAATATATATATATATATATATATAGGATGAGGCTTCCCTCCAGTCCTTCATCGGACTAGAGGGTATTGTTGGGCTTGTGGGGGCCCACCATGGGTTCCGTTTCGATAATACGAACCGTTTAATGTGTAGAACTCATCAAGTACTATATGCCTGTTAAAAATCACGTTGATCGGATATCGATAGCTATGTGATTAAATCAGTTTTGTATAAAAAAAAATGGATGGTGAAAAATAAACGGCTGACAAAAATCTGATTTGATCACATAGCTATCGATATTCGATTAATGTGATTTTTTACAAACATATAATACTCGACGAGTTCTACATATTGGATAGTTCAAATTATCGAAACGGAACCCTTGGTGGGCCTCCACAGGGCCAACAGTATCCTTCAGTCCGATGAAAGACTGGAGGAAAGCCTTTATTTATTTATTTATTTATTTTTTTTAACATGTTCCTTTTCACACGTGAGCTTGTACCATCACTTTAATACAAATTTGGCTTGTGTATTTTTCCTTTAGGGTACGTTTTTGGTGAATAGTGATAATTTTTTAATTTTTTTAGTAACTTTTTGCCTTTTTATCTTTTTTAAACTATCCCAAACAAGCACTAAATTTATCTAGCGAATACAAATAGTTTCCTTGATTTTTCTATGTTATATATGTTTTTTTTTCTCACTCTTTTTGGTTTTGATTCTACTTTCTACTACTGTATGTTATTTGCCTATCCTTGGTTAGAAAAATCCTACACTCTTGTTAGTTTACTTTCATCTAAATTTTTTTGGAACCTGCATGCCATCCATAAAATTTTATTTCGTTGCTCCAATAGTGCACTAACATGCCACCTCAACTTAGTGTTTCCACGATGATTTCTTACCAAGAATCAACCCCTTGGAACATATATTTAAATTGCTCTTCTAGTGAGTTGTGTTCTTTTTATATGATGACTTTGAGAAGCCATTGAATCTTTGTTGGAGTGTTTTGTAAATTTATCTCACTAGTATATTTGTATTTGTCAATGACAGGGAGATTTCAAGGGAGGGTGTGGGACGAGTCTTCCTCGTATGAAACATCGATGACGCAAGAGGAAATATCAAGATAGGTGCTTTGGAAGAAGGGGATATTTAAGAGGATTTGAGGCTAGCCCAAAACTCTCTTCCTCCGATTATAGATCAAATGTTGCAGCATAACGAGAAGTGGAGATGCAAAGACTTTAGATCCAAGGTGGAGATTACTTTTGGCATGAAACATATTACTATTGGCGTGGTATGGATTACTAGTGGATATTTCTTTTTTGTGTATGGAGGACATGATTTTTGTATAATTCTCTGTTTGTATGGAATTATTATTTTAGGTTGGATTATATTTAGTTTGTATGGAATTTAACGTTAAAAGACCAAATTTTTGGATGGTTGAAAGTGAAATAGAAACAGGTATATGTGTTGTTTTGTTTATATACAGGTTGTGGAGAAATTAATAATAATAAAAAAACCACTAAACAAAGTTTTATGACTAAAAAAAAAAGTGCAACGTCTTGGCAACTAACCAATTGGTAACCAAAAAGGAAATCAATATTTTTAGCAACTAAATATTTGGTAGTCAGAAAGAAATCAAAGATTTTTGGTGAGTAAAAATTTAGTAGTCAAAAATATATGAGACTTTGGGCAACTAAATAATTTATTAGTTAAAAAAAATAAGATGAAAATAATTTATTTTGGCGACTAAATATTTAGTAACCAAAAATAAAAGAGACTTTAGGTGACTAAATAGTTTAGTAGCTAAAAAAATAAGATGAAAAATAATTTTTTTTGGCGACTAAATATTTAGTGGCCAAAAATAAATTAGACTTTGGGCGACTAAATAGTTAGTAGCAAAAAATAAAATAAAATGAAAAAAAAATTTTTGCGACTAAATTCTTTGGTCCCTAAATGTAGTAATATTGTGACTAAAACTTATCCACGACTAAAAGTTTTAGTTGCTGAAAACTAAAATTAATTTTATTTCAAAACTTTTGGCACCTAAATATTTAGTAGCCAATTTATGACTTTTGGCGACTAACAAACATTTAGTCGCCAATACCTTTCTTGACAATTAGTCAACTATCAATCTGGCGACCAAAAAATTTAGTCCCTAAAAACCTTTGGCGACTACAACTTGACCTTTGGCAACAAAAAATTTAGTCGCTAAAAGTGTCATTTCTTGTAGTGCCGTTTGTTATTGTTGTAATTATTTTTTTGTACAAGACAAGAGCTTTATTTGTATTGAGTTTCAAACTCACTTTTGTTGCAACCAAGCATCAACTTGGAAAGTTGTAGCCATTAAGGCATTCATTTGTCTATTTAATTCTTATTTCGTATCTTTTGCTTATGACACATGCTCTAGATTCAGGGTTAGGGCTTATGAATATATAGTTGCATGTGCCATCTTTTGTACAACTGGATCATATGGATGTACAGATATCATATTCTGAAATGTATTGTTAATTGGTAAATATTGTGAGATGGTTTTATTGTTATATTTTGGGGGTATTACATGAATACAACAAGTTTTGTAGCTAAAAATGTGAAAATGGTGATGTTTAATTGATATACTTAGAGTTTTTCATTTTTTATTAGCTATACCAACTAGGATTATGTGGAACCTTAATATTAGGCTATATTTGAATGATAATAATCTTGAGATTGTGATTTCAGTTCTCCATAATTGTAGGGTTTGAGGAGTTCCATTCATTATAAAAGCACTGTTTCTTATAAAAACACATTACGCCTATCATAACCTTAATTGCATAGCACGGGGTTGAAAACTAGTTAACTATGTAATTCCATGAAATTATTTTAACCTATGAAAGTCTTCTCTTAAATAAAATGCTTCATATTTTTAGAAATACTAGTGTATGTCCGTACCTGAAGGCACGGTGTAAATAAAAATAAGTGAACAAAAAGTAGAAAATAAAATATAAAAAGACAAATAGAGAGAAAAATTTAAAAAATAGGGGGAAATAAAAAAATAAAAAGAAAAGAGGGAGGAATCTAGGATCATGAGATCATTCATGGGATCATTCATAGGATCATGGAATGATGGGTAATGTAATGCCCCCCTTCAAAATATATATATGTATATATACAATCTAGGCATGATAATTTCCATCCATTACACTATTTCACCTTGATAAATCAATTTCCCTCAAATAGCATTTCATTTCTTATGAGAGGTATACAAAAATGTTCACATGCAATATATATTCAATCTCCTAAAAGGGTGAATCTATAGCATGTGCAACAATCACAAGTAAAGAAAATAACAACAAAACAAATGCCCAACGCCGACAACTTCCAAGGCTTAAGCCTGGTTACACACAAAAAGGTTATCAAACCCAACACATTTACCCTTGGTTTGCCAAAACTTGACACAAAAGGGAGCGTCTCTAGCCCTCAATATACTCCACACCTTCAACTAGGTGGGATTACCACAGCCTTTCCTGCACAAATTCACTAGAGGTGAGCACAAAACCCAGTAGAGATATCTTAACAAAATATATATGTTTAAGTAGTCTCATATACATAAATGCAATGTTATGACATATTCAAAACGTCAAAATTTCCCATTTCATCTAAAATACATGTTATGTTTCTTCCAAAAGTTTATTTTTCTTCATAAGATTCAAATAATAATAAAGGGTGGTAAATACGACTCATGTAATTCTAGGTCAGTGTCTACAAGTAGGCATAACAAGTACTACCAAATCCCCATTTTACCAACTCCTAACCGGAAGGCATATGGTAACTCCTCCGCATGTGTTTTTGGTCTTTCACCCTAGACACTTAGGCCAACTTAAACAACATCAATTACACCCGCTATCCAGACTTACCAAATGTATTTACCCCAAATGTTACCATACAATCGTTATTTTCTCAAAATCATAAATTTATTTCCAAAGCGTAGCCACAATTGAACATATTTAAAATGATGCAAATGCATTAAATGAGAGGTGATTACATGTAAGTATCTCATTTGTACAACATTTCCATAAATCTCAACATTTGTTTAAAGCAAACTTCCATTCAATGATTCTCAAAACAAAACACAACAAATATAATCCATGTAACATTTATACCTTTTTATGTTCACAATCACTATTCCATTCATATTTTAACGTATACCATTTCAAGGCCAATAACATTTTCCAACAATAACAATTATTCATTTCATGGATGTCCTAATTTCACAATCAATATAACGAAATTTCTATCAATTTCTTGAGAAATTTAACACTAATTTCATAGATATTTTTAAAAATCCACTTTTCTCCAAATTTCTTTAAAACTAGGGTTTGTCTCAAAAAGGTTTCCTTTCATTCCTTCATAATTTCTTCTCACAAGGTGTTTTCAAGGTTTCATAAGTTCATAAAACATTATAATTTGAACATTCACAAGAAAAGTTATTTTCATCAACATTCACAAACCCACATTACAAAAATCCATACCAGCCTACCAAAAATTTAAAAGGGAGGAACTAGACATGCAAAAATCATATATATAAATCAAAGAACTCCCTACCTCAAGACTTTGAGAAGAAAAGATGAAAAGCTTCGAAACCACCGGTGTCAAAATCCGATCTCCACCATACACAACGTAGTCCTCGACGACCTCTCCAAAATCAAAAAAGGCACTATGGTCAGAATCTCAACGGATAAGGAGAGATCAAAGAATTAAATGAAGTGAGTGGAGGGTTTCTAGAGAGAGATTAGAGAAAAGAGATAGAGAGTTAATGTAGAGAGAGAGAGAGAGAGCGAAGTGAAAAATGAAAGAAAAGTGTGTAAGGGCTCAACTTTTGTGTGATTAGACACATTTTTTCAGAGAAGACTGCGGACAGATCGCTCAAGCGACCAAACTTGTGCTCGAGCAAACAATTCAAACTCCTAGAATCTTTATATTCCTTGCAAAAGACCGCTCGAGCGATGAAAAACTTTACTCGAGTGAAGAACACAAATTCTCAAAAGTTCAGACTGTAAAACAAGATACTGGAAGGTTGATGTCATCGCTCGAGTGATCTCAACCTGAAAGTGAGACAGAACCACCTTAAACATTCCCACTTTCCTGGTTACACTCTAACTCCCAAAACTACAAGATCAAATTTCAAAACACATTAAAATATACATACCAGAATAATCAAAAGAAAGAATAGGTAACAACACCAAACTCAAAAGGAGATAGAAATTACGGATTGTGGCACTCTAGGAAATCTTTTTTCTCATCACTCGAGTGATGAAATGATTGCTTGAGCGGTCTTGTGAAGCTTCTAGTATTTTTGCAGGTTTGAAATTCAGGGAGCTAGCGTAGGGTTGGTCGCTCAAGTGGTGTGGGGTCTCTGACACTCGAGCGCATAAGTGGTCGCTCGAGCAGTATATTCGGGATCAGTACTTTAAAAAGTCAATTTTTTTGTCCACTTGCCTTTACTATATCATTTTCTCTCTCTCTCTCTCTAGCTATTATTGGGCTTCAAGCTCATAAAAGCTTAGCTTTCATCTCTTTTTACCCATTTCTTTCCCCATGCCCCTCATATAAAAATGTAGAGCATGATGAGAGCCTTCTATCCATCCTATCGAATCGTGTTTTCCTCACCATTGATTTTTCGGATTTCTCCTCATTGCTTCAAGAGGTAGGGGTTTCCTTGTTTCTTTTCAATACTTCTTGATAGATAAACTTGTGGTATTTTCATATTGCATAAAAGTTAAACCTTGGATGGGATTTTTGGAAAAACATGATGAAGAAGTTAAGGTTAGGGTTCCAAAAAGGTTAGATCTGGTGATTTAAGAATGACTGAAGAGTATATTAGTTGATAAAGTAATATATGAGAAGTTTGGTGTAAAAGCCCTAATTTATTTGGAGGTTTAATGATTTGAAAAACGTTATGAGATGAATAATTTCAGTTTCTTGAATTAAAATAATTGCGATGGCATGAAAATGTATTTAAAAGAGAAGAAATTGGCTTTTAGGAAATGGGCTATGTTGATCAATAACTAATGATTTAACTCTTATACTCTTACAATTTGTTAAAGAGTCACGTTCAAATTGATTAATCAAGCTTTAGTCTTATAATATTTGATTATGTATCTAGGATTTGGAAGAACAAGAATACTTGAATTATTTTTGGGAAATTGGGAAGGCAATGGAACTTATGATGTTAATTCGAGATTTATGTGTTGGGTTTGAATTGTTGTGTTACATACGATGTTGAAATTAACTATTGACTATTGATGAATGATAATTGCGAGTAAAATGTGAAATAGACTCAATAATAAAAATGAAATAAAATAAAATAAAGAATTAATGGATAGTTGTTTAACCCCTTGAGGGTGGTGTTGCTTGTCATGGAATGACTTGAGCATGTTATAATGTGTTGGGCTTTGGTAGCCATGATATGTTGTATGTAGTGTTGGTACTCGAGCGGGGAA